AGCCTGCCTTTCTGGCCCATTCAGTGGGCAGCTTCCTGAACAACAGCTGCCTGAATCTGGCCTGTAATTCTAACACAAGTCTGGGGAAATGTGTTGTGCCTAAGTTTCCACATTCCACAATGTTGTGACTGCGGAGTGGTGTCTGCAGGCATTTACACATTCCGTGATCCAGAGATTGTAGAGTGGCCTCATCCTGCCCCGCTAGCCTCTCATTTTCTAATAAAGGCTCAGGAGGGCAGAGCGTGGGAGGGTGGCTGTAAGGGACTCAGCAGGAGAAAGTCAATCAAGGCAGCACCTGCCTTTGAACAGCTTTTTCTGCCAATGAGGTAAAACAACCTCCTCTTAACACTAGCAGTGATCCCTGGTTGCAGACCAGCCCAGGCCTCTCAGCTTCTGTTTTCCTTGTTTGTCCTTAAGCCCTGGACACTGCCTGGCCTCCCTCCCTCTCACTGGAGCACAGACTTGGAGGTCAGAAGACAGCCTGGGGCATCTGTCACTGCCTTCCACTCTGTTTCAGATGATCTCTTGTCTGCCGTGTGTGTCAGGACACCTAGCCATGAGCTTCTGAGGAGTCCCCTGTCTCCAGCCTCACTGGAGGTTACAGATGTGTGCAAGAGCACCCAGTTCTCCCAGAGTTCAGGGTGTTCAAACTCAGGTCCTCACACCTGGGTGGCAAGCACTTTGCCTACTGAGTCATCACCACAGCGACATCTGATATTCACTTGCCAGGTAGACCAGGCTGGCCTTGAACTTACTGTGTAGACCAGGCTGGCCTCAGACAAACTGTGTAGACCCATCTAACCTCAGATTGTGCATATTTGTGTGTCTGCATGAGTTTATGTGTATCATGTGTGTGCCGGTGCCCATGAGAGCCAGAGGGTGTCCAGTCTCCTAGAACTGGAATTGTAGGAATTATGAGCCAGCTGATTTGAGTGCTGGGACCCAAACTCAGTCCTCTGGAAGAACAGTCAGTACTCTTAGCCACTGAGCCAACTCACTAGCCTGCGTGGCATTCTTAATTGTGACCTTTGGAAGTATTTAGTTTCTCCAGGTACCCTGGAGTCAGAGTCAGAGAAACACTTTGGCTCTAGTGTGTAGACCTGTCCGGAGTTTCAGGCAGTAGTTATTCAGGAAAAGTCTTTCACTTGTTTTCCCAAGATGCTCACATGACTGTTATCCTGCCCTTCTCAAGTAGCTTGGGTATAAAGACAGTGTTCTGAGGAGTGGAGGGACTATGCATACATAGCACTGTGTCATCACAGTGGAGGATCAAACATGTTCTCCCTGGGTTTCAGCGTTCTTCCTTCCAAGACCCTCTTTTATTCAGGGTAACTTTTTTTTTTTTTTTTTAGACAGGGTTTCTCTGTGGCTTTGGAAGCTGTCCAGAAACTAGCTCTTGTAGACCAGGCTGCTCTCGAACTCACAGAGATCCACCTGCCTCTGCCTCTCAAGTACTGGGTTTAAAGGTGTGTGCCACCACCGCCCAGCCAGAGTAACATTTTTAAAAGCAATTTATTTATGTTTTATTTTACATGTGTGGGTGTTTAGCTTGTATATATGTCTGTGTACCACATGTGTGCCAGGTGCCTGAGGAGTTCAGAAGAGGGTGCTGGATGCCCTGGAAGTGAAGTTACGGGTGGTTGTTAGTTACTAAGTGCATGCTGGGAAACAAACCCAGGTCCTCTGGAAGCGCAGCCAGTGCTCTTAACTGCCAAGTCATCTCTCAAGCGCCTCTGGAGATATACAGACTCAATGTTCTACTTTGTCCCAAATGCTTTGTTTTTTAATAGTCCCCCAGACCTTAGTACAACTGACACCATGGTAGCAACACAATTCTGACCTTAAAACCCAGCATATAGGTCCCCAGCACCTGCCAAAATGGGCCACTACTGCCTTTAATCCCAGCACTCAGGAAGTAAATCCCAGAGAATTCTTTACCCTCTATGCTGGGGATGAAATCCAGGACTTCACGTGTACCAGGCAAGCACTTAGTTCCATGTACTGACCTAGCTTTTTGGCTTCTCTAGTTTTGCTTCGTGCTAACTGAAGTGTGGCAATCAGGATATGGTTGTCGAGTATAAAAGACAAAGGGCTATAAGACTCGGGACTGCATTGTTTGGGCAAGTTCCCTGTGCAGACACTGACAGGCAATAAAGACTTAATTTTCATCTTTTTTTTTTTTTAGATTTATTTATTTATTAAGTACACAGTGTTCTGCCTGCATGTATGCCTGCAGACCAGAAGACGGCATCAGATCTCATTACAGGTGGTTGTGAGCCACCATGCGGTTGCTGGGAATTGAACTCAGGACCTCTGGAAGAGCAGTCAGTGTTCCCAACCTCTGAGCCATCTCTCCAGCCCTTAATTTTCATCTTTAAGAGTGTCCATGTGGTGGTTGCTGGTGGGCTTGCCTCTCGACAGTTTCACATTGAATGCATCTGCTATTTGGACTTGTACTCTGAAAGACGGGAAGTTCTCCTGCTGTTTCTCGTCGTTCATGTACAAATTCATGCCCCTAGTGTCCTTCTGTTTGCTACGCACCTCCCTAACAGGGCCGTGGGAAGCTGTGAGAACTTCAAGAAGCCCAGGTTCTCTCCCTGTCTGCTGGCTTTGGCCACTATGAGAGAAGATTACAGATAGGGAGGGTCAGAGAGGCTAGGAGACCTCCAAGTTCCTTCTGCCTCTAATGGCCCATGGTTCTTTCCTTTTGTTTTCAAACCAGACATCTCATTTCCACCGTTGTGAGAGTTGTGGGAAAACTCGGTTTCCCTTGAAGCCAGATACCTTATCTCGGTATTGATGCCTGAGACTATATTAGAGTAGGCACAAGCTAAAGCAAGGCTTAGGATATTTTTTTTTAAGTATTTATTTTTTATGTGTCTGTGTGTTGGGGGTGTGTGCATGTGAATTCAGGTGTCCCAGGAGGCCAGGAGAGGGTGTAGGATCTCCTGGAGCCTGAGTTACAGTTAGTTACAGCCTGGCACGGGTGAGCAGCAAGTACTCTTAACCACTGAGCCATCTCTTCAGCCCCATGGGATATGGTTTCAGAGCACATCCTTCAGGAACATAGTGCCAGGCTCTCTCTCTCTCTCTCTCTCTCTCTCTCTCTCTCCTCCTCTTCCTCCTCCTCCTCCTCCTCCTCCTCCTCCTCTTCTTCTTCTTCTTCTTCTTCTTCTCCCTCTCTCTCTCTCTCTTTCCAGACAGGGTTTCTCTGTGTAACAATTCTGGCTGTCCTGGAGCTCACTCTGTAGACCAGGCTGGCCTCAAACTCACAGAGATCCACCTACCTCTGCCTCCAAAGTGCTGGGATTAAAGGTGTGCACCTCCACCACCCAGCTCTTCATCTCTTTTTAATACTGTTTTCTTCTAAGCAGCTGAATAAAGTCTTTTCTTTCTTTTTAAAAAATTACGTTTTATTTATTTATTTAATATATGTGTGTGTACACTTGTGTGCATGTATGGGTCTTTTTCTTCTAAGCAGCTGAATAAAGTCTTTTCTTTCTTTTTAAAAAATTATGTTTTAGTTATTTATTTAATATATGTGTGTGTACACTTGTGTGCATGTATGGGTCTGAGGAACCGGTTGTGGGAATCAATTCTCTCCTTCTACTTTGTGTGGGGTCTGGGGCTAGAACTTAGATCATCAGGCTGTGTGGCAGTTGCCTTTACCTGCTGAGCCAACTATCCTATCCCTCTTTCTCTTTTGCCAGACACATCCAGATAAAGAAGTGGACTCTATTATAATATAAAAGCTGGAATTCTTTGGAGAATTTCTCTTTTGTTGTTACTGTGGTTTTTGTTTTGTTTTGTTTTTGAGACAGGGTTTCTCTGTGTAGCCCTGGATGTCTTAGAAGTTGCTCTGTAGACCAGGCTAGCCTCAAACTTACAGAGATCCAACTGCCTCAGCCTCCTAAATTCTGGGATTAAAGGCATGGGTCACTACTGCCTTTAATCCCAGAATTTAGGAAGCAAATCCCAGAGGGTGAAGAAATTCACCAGTGGAGAATTCTTTGCCCTCTATGTTGGAGATAAAAATCCAGGATTTCACATGTGCCAGGCAAGCACTTAGTCATAAGCCCTTAGTCATACCCTCAGCTTTCTTTAGAGATTTTTGCAGTCAAATGTGTTGCACATGTTTCAGAGAAGCCTTAATGACTTTTTGACCCTTTGAATAGGGGTATGTCTGTAAATGGACATTTCCTGTCTTGACTGCCCTGTCCTAAATAACCACACTGAGGCTTATATTAACTGTAAATGCTCAGCCAACAGCTCAGGCTTATTACTAACTAGCTCTTACAGTATGCCTGCTTGGTATTATTATGAATTCCTATCCAGGCTAGATACAAGGTCTGTCCTTCCTTCTTTCCTTCCTTCCTCTCTTTCCCTTCTTTTTTCATTCCTCTTTCCTTTCAAGAACATGTATGAGTGCATGAGCTGGCCCTGGGAAAACCCTGAAATGAGTCATTGTTTAGAACCATAATCTTTGCTGTCCTCTGGATTGCCTTCCTGGTTGAGGTCACAGGATCAAAAGCAACTGCAATTCCTTCTGTGGGGACTCAGTGAGGAGGGAGGCTATAGGCCAAGGACAGCCTAGCAGCCTTGCATACCCACCTGTTCCCTTCAGAGTTCATTTCTTGCCTGGCCTATGGAGTGAGGATGAGGAAAGGACACCAGATTTAGTAGGGCTGGGAGGGATGGTGCTGTTCAGGATTCTGCGGTACCCACTGCCCTTTTCTTCCGTTCTTGCCTCCCAGTACTGCTTTCAAAAGTATCTTGCATAGAAGAGATGTGAGGATCGAAGGTTTTTTTCGGAGCTGGTGACTTGTAGGTTCCTGAAGAGAAGTGCTAGGAAGCTGTAGTCTAGACATATGACGACTAGCAGGATCATACGCTATCCTGCTAACATCCTAGCAATAACTGCTTATTTGCGATTTTGTGAACTCCAGTTGCTTGAGTTTTCCCTGAGCTGCCACAAGTCTGTATAAAATGCTTGGTTCTGGTTTTTTAGAACAAAGGACTCCACTCTGCAGATTAAAAGAGTGGTTCCTCTTAGCTTCCTCTGTGGGAGGACTCACTGCATAGCCGCTGCTCGTCAAGTTCTGCAGTGTGCTGAGATGATGCTAAGCACGTGGTCTTTTCTTCTTTTGCTGTAGATAACACTTCCCAGGAGTGGACTGTTGAAATCGAGGCTTCTTTTGACGTGGTCAGCTCAAAGCCAGTTGGTGGTCAGGTGACTGTAGCCATCCCTCAACTGCAAACACTGCAGACATACAACATTAAACTTCAACAGAGGCAAAAGACTGTTAAACTCCTTGTGAAAATTAGCAAGGTAAGTGATGTCACTTCTGGGGAAATGCTGGATCAATGTACTTGAGTTCAGGGAAAGCAGTGGCAGAGTTGGAGTGGGCATCTACTTTCTCCTTATGTTTTCTAATAATTTTCTCACTACTCTTCCATTTTTTAGGGGTTCCATATATTTAGAATTTTTGTTTTGTTTTTCAAGACAGGGTTTCTCTGTGTAACAGCCTTGGCTGTCCTGGAGTTCACTTTGTAGCCTAGGCTGGACTCAAACTCACAGAGATCCACCTACCTCTGCCTCCTCAGTGCTGGGATTAAAGGTGTGCGCCACCACAGCTCAGCTCTAGAATTGTGTTTTTTGGTTTTTTTTTTTTTTTGAGACAAGATTACACACTGTGACACAAAATGGAACTCACTAAGCAGTGCAGGCTGCCTTCTCTTTTTGTTTGTTTGTTTGACATAGGGTCTTGCATCGTAGCTTAGGCTGGCCTAAAACCCAGTATGTAGCTCAGGCTGCTCTCCAACTTGCAGTAATCCTCTGGTGTCTGGTTCTCTTGGGAGATGAGATTCCAGGTGTACAGGTGTATATCACCACACATGGCATTTTTGCCTCTATTTTGAACTTCTCATATATTCTGCATATCAACTACTGAGTGATTTCTCACATGTAAAATTAATATAATGGGTCAGGCGGTGGTGGCACACATCTTTAGTTCCAGCACTTGGGAGGCTGAGGCAGGTGGATCTCTGTGAGTTTGAGACCAGCCTGGTTTACAAGATCTAGTTTCAGGACAGCCTCCAAAGCCACAGGGAAACCCTGTCTCAAGAAACAAACAAACAAACAAACAAACAAACAATCGGAAATAAAAAGAAAAAATTAATATAGTGGAAAATAATATGTGATTAATTTGCCAAATTTTTCTTCTAAGAAGTCAGTTACATCTTTAATTTTTTTCTATGTCATTTGCAATATCCCAGCCCATATTAGATTCTACATTTCCAGTTTCAGTGTAGTGGTTCTTTTCTATTTTTTTTTTCATTTGCTTTGAACATTGGTATTTATTCTACCTGTAAAACTCTAAACTTGGACTCAAGGTTTGTTTATGGTTAGATGGGGTAGGTTTTAGCTTTCTTTTTTTTTTTTTTCTGTTAATCTGGTTTATGATTGTGGACAGGCAAAGACAGAGCAGAGTAACAACAACTTGGAAGACAGCAAGACTCCACAAGAGTTCCAGTCCTGTGGGTAGAAGAGTCAACTTCTTTGTCCAATTCTAAGTGTTGAGTTGGTAGAATAAACACAGTTTGGAGCAGTAGAGCAGGGAACAGCACTTTCTTGAACACCATGGTACTCTGGTATGGATTCTGTGGTATGCTCCCAGCATGTTGGTTTCTTAGATATTCTGAGTGGAGGGGCTGGGAACATCAGTCAGTGCTCTCCTTCCCGAGTATGAAGTCCC